AACATCATATTCTTAATACAATTGAACTCGAACAAACACCTTCTGAAGCATCCCAAACACTTGATAACTTAATTGCTCATATTGCAAATGTTCAAGATAAACAACAATTACGTTTTATATTGCAACAACACATGAAAATTTTTGACACTTCGAACGTCACACAAGCCAACACACATATTCAGCACACTATTAACACCGGTGATAGCCTTCCGATTAGTTCACGACCATACCCAAGAACACCATACGGCTTGTCCAAGCGTGACGAAATCACGTTTTTTCCTCGTGTCTTTGTAATATCTCAACAAAATGAAATAGGATAAGGCTTAAAATATTCACAGGCTATGTAAGTTGAGTTCCTGTACGCATGCTGAAAGTTTCATAGGATTTCAAGTTTTAGTGTTTTTTTTATGACTGACACATAGGTACGTTACGGAATCACACAAAATGGAATTTGATTTTGAGTGCTGTTCAAAGAGTAAAAATACTTAGCTCAACTATAAATGTAGTGGCAAAACTCTCTCTACAAGAGGATGTGGGTGTGGGTGTCATTGCTATCTTTACTCATACCCGCAGTGCGGGTATGAGTAAAGATAGCAATGACACCCACACCCACCAGAGATGGGACCGGTTCGGTTTTTAACCGAACCGAACCGACCGACCGAAATCGGTTCGGTTGGAGATTTTTAGAGAATTCGGTCGGTTACGTTCGGTTCGGTTAGAGACTTTTTCGGTTACGGTCGGTTCGGTTAGAAATTTTAAAAAATTCGGTCGGTTATGTTCGGTTCGGTTAGAAAGAATCAACATAATCGTTTCATTTGAGTTCAATGGACTTTTTCAGTGAAACATAAGAAGAAAAAAGAATATAATCGTACAACAACTAGCTGTTGCTCGCAACGCGGATTATCTCACATATTTTAAAAATTTGCCCTGAGAGGTAAGGAAGTTATAATACAGTAAGAAGATCCAATAAATAATCTTTATTCTTTGCTTTCTCTAAGTGTTCATTATTTTTAGTTGCTATTATTTGATTTGTTGTTGATAATTTATAAAGCACTAATACCCTAACTAAAATAAGCTAAACTTCGCTTTCTCTAAACTCGGTTCGATTACGAAATTTTTGAAATTCGGTCGGTTACGGTCGGTTCGGTTAGAAATTTTTAAATATTCGGTCGGTTACATTCGGTTCGGTTAGAGATTTTTTCGGTTACGGTCAGTTCGGTTAGAAATTTTAAAAAATTCGGTCGGTTACGTTCGGTTCGGTTAGAGATTTTTTCGGTTACGGTCGGTTCCGTTTGGCAAAAATGCCAACCGATCCCACCTCTGACCCGCACCCGCACCCACACCACCCTTCATATTTAAATTACCAAAGAAAGTACAAAATATTCATAAGAATCAATTAGAATTTTTACTTCGATTAAGTAAATTTCCTTTGATAGCGATCTTAGATTGTGCCAAAGGTATGATGCCTGAAAATGTTAGTGTTATATACGAATGATTGCATATGAAATTTAACTTCCTAGAATATTCTTCTAAAAATAATTTGAGAATTGACTCTGTTAGATATAAAATATTTTTTTTATTTCTTTAGATTCATTAGATGCTTCTATGACTACATCAAAATTAATTCGTCAATTTCATGGAAAAAATATTCCAATGGAAATGTTGAATAATATGGATTCATTATATTATCGTTTAAATAACTATGAAGAAAATCGTAAATGTTTTGAAAAGGACATCTCATATCTTATATGCTGAACAAGCTCATCAAGTTGAACTAGCTTATGCTAATTCAATTCTTATTACAATACGTTATAATTTAGCTCGTGTATGCGAAGCATCATTTGAATTTAATAAAACTGAAACATTATATAAAGAAATTTTACGTGAACATTCCAAATATGTTGATTGTGTACTTCATTTGGGTTCTATGGTACATGATCGTGGTCAAATTTATAGTGCATCTCATTGGTTTAAAGATGCACTGGAAATTAATTATAATTCACCGAATGCATGGACTATGATTGAAAATATACATACGACAAAACAAGAATGGAGACCTCGACAAAAGAAATTTGAGAAAATTTTATATAATAGACAGACAACAAATGATTCGTTATGTTTTAATTTCATTAGGAAATATATGATTACAAACTTTATATATGTCGACATGTGATAAAGAAAGAGTAAGATTTATTTAAAGAAATCAAACCTTATTCTTCAAGCAGCGATGGTTTGAGTTTCAATTGTATAAGGGTCATCCATAAATGGACGTTTAGACAAAGAGGGAAGGGTGAAGTCAGTAAAAAACGAACATTTCCGGACAAGAGGAGTGGGATTAGGCATATTTGGACGTCCAGATGCTAATTATGATTTTCTTTTTGTTTTTTTTCAGCGTTTTTTCTGATGTTTTCATGTAAAATTGATTTTTGATTATTTGTCTTACGCCCCCCCCCCTCCGAAAATCATATTTTTCGAAAAAAATTCAAAATTGAGTTTTTGTTGTGGGAAGATGCACTGAAGTCTCCTCTTTCAGTGCATGCCTTTGGTCTTAGGAAATAAGCGATTTTTGGCTGTTCTCGGTCTTATTTTTGTAGTTGCCCAGTCTTTTTTCATGGTTTTCAGGGGTTTTCTGGAGACCCTCCCCGATTTTTAGAAATTTTCTAGAAAACCAATAGTACCATCGTGTTCAGCGTGTCAAGTTACCCTTGTATCCAAGTTTTCAGAATAAAATATGATCCCTAGAATGCGTTACAGAAATTTTTTGTCCAATAGCGGCACCCATTTTGATAGTTGTCTCAGCCATTGAAAATCTTCTCTCTTCCTTATCTGATAACCAAAAATTCTAAAATTTTGAGCATACATGTTTCTCTCCATGTTTGATATGATGGCAATGCCAGATTTCTAGAAAACCTCTAGAATTCTTTGTTCTCCATAGTAGGCTTAAAAATAATTTTCAACTTGTTTATCAATTTTCTCAAAACGGATTTTTACTCTAATGATCGACAGCAGAACAAATTTTTTTTCAATATACTTCATCCTAGAGAGCTGCGGTTTTTTTAATCGATACATACGTATGCAGTGCTTCGGATGAGGGAAAGGGATTTTTTATTTAATCGTCTATCTGAGAGAAATCCAGAGTTTTCAAGAACCGTTGGGGTAGGATTTTGAGATTTTTTGGATTTTGGACGCCCCTAAATTGAACAAAGGAAAATTAAAAAAATCCCTTCCCCTCAGTCCAAGTGGTAAACAGTTCTGCTTAAAATAAAATAATCCCCGATTCAGTCCGTTGAAGTATAGTGAAAAAGACTTTCTACTGCCAGTGGGTCCATTTTGGGCCTTGATCTCTAGAAAACTCCTGAACGCTGAGGTTTAGAGAAGTAAAAAAAATTTCGTAACTTTACTTTCATGTGCCCAACATTTGTGGAAAGTTTCAAGGAAGTCCGATGTACTGTAACGAAAATCGATTTTGGAGGGGGGGGGATGCCTTAAGGCTATGATTCTACTTCGCCTTTTATGGCAATTACTTTGAAGTTCTAGTGAGTGATTTCTTGTGTGATTATATGTATCGTGCACTAATATGTCGCTTATTATACATATATCAATTTTGCAATGCTGCCAGATATGCTAAAAATTCTACTGCAACCTATTGGAAAATTAGACGTCTTTTTGACAATGTATGTCATAGATTCCTAATAGAAGGGCCCCCTAAATAGAAGGCCCCCCTAAAAATTTTATGTGCTCCGCCATTATAGAAGGCCCCGGGGCCTTTTAATGCGGGGGGGCGGGGGGTTTACTAACACCGACAGTAAAAATGTCGAAAAAATATAAATATCAAAAACAAAAACGGTAATTATACCAAAACGTAGAAGTGTTGTAAATGAAAGTATATGAAGAGAGAAACCGCCCTCACCTCACTCTTACATTTTCATTTGAAAATTTTCTTATCTTCTTATCTGAACTTGGTTCAGTATCAGTTGATAGTGTACTTTTTTTTGTATATCTTATCCAATTAAAATTTTCAGTTGGATTAAATTGCTATTGACAAAAATTTTGTTCAAATCAACAGTAAATCACTTATTGTCATACTTGAATTAGATTGACATCAACCAATTGTAATTGACATGTATCTGAGAATAAAATTCCAATATGATCAACAGTAAACCCCCCTCATAATAAAACACCCCCCCATATTAGAAGACCCCCCGTTTTAGAAGACCCCTCCGGAGGAGTCGCTTCATAGAAATTTCTTTTTTTCACCAGCAAAAATTTACAAAATTTACAAAAGTTCGCTGGACCATAATAGAAGACCCGGGGTCTTTTATTGTAGGGGGGGGTTTAATATCATCTTCAAACGACTTTCCACAAATACCTTCGAAGAGTTATTTCATATCCATCCATTTGCTTTAATAGATACAAATGCTTGTTTTCAATCTTTTTCTCATTGTTGTTTGTCCAGCTAATACTTAAATAAATGATTTTCTCATAAAGGGTGTGGGTGTGGATGTGATTGTTTGGAAAGGAACCCATACTGATATCTCCACATCCACACCCACACCCTCAGTTCTCAATAATCATTTTCGAAGTGATGCCGCTGGAGATTTTCCTAGCACACGCTCACTTTTACGATCGTTATTTGATAGCGAAAATCAATACTTCTCTCAGTGATTGTGCTGAGGTCTTTCAAATCAGTCAACTGATCACTAGTACTTTTGAAAGGAGCTATTATTGAAGATTTTGGTTATGTTTATCATTTATTTTAAAGCAACATGAAAAAGAAATTTGACTAAAATATCCAATACATCTGTTTAAATTTTGTATTACTTGAAAACAGTATCTCATGCTACTTTAAAGAAGAAAATGAACACTAATACCTCTTTCAATATGGCAGGGCTGCCAAGTGCTAATGTTCAAATGTGGTACAGCAAATTTCAAATGGGGTACAGTTAGGGTACAATTTTTTTTAAAATGGGGTACATCGTTGAGGTACTCAATTTTTTTCTAAAAGGAAAGAATTAGTATGGAAAAACTACCTGAAAAACCTGTTCTCTTAAAAAACAACATAATGTTTCACTGTTTTCTATGAGATTTCGAGTTTATTGAGTATTTTTCACA